ATTGGCTAAATTAATAGATAATCACAGATCATCACAGATTGTCACATTAGTAAAATGCGTTCAATCCGCCCATATGAGGGTTGTTGTTTTCTCGATCATGAGTTCCAAATTGCCACTAAAATTTTTTTAAATTTTAAATTAAATGATTATAAAAAAAAAAAAATACAAATTAACAAGTCAGTATCTTACCTAGCTACACCCTGCTGCCACAGCCTGGCCGCCATTGATATGTGGTATCGTCCTTGACCATCTCTTGTAGTCCTTTTTTTATGCAACTTAATCCCAAGTACAAATCGTACATAAACTTGATTTATCCAGAGTTGACATTTAGCATTCCAATTTGCAGTAGTCTGATGATTACCTACTTCACAAATTATTCTAGCATGTGGGCCGTCCTACAGTAATATATTAGCATTAGAAGATCACACGCAAAATAAATTTAAATTAAGGTACTTCTGAATTTCCTGGAGGAGTCCAGGATATGGAGCACGAGATTGTTGGACATGATTCCTATTTGGATATACTGAAACATCTGCTGCAATTAGTTCTCCAGTTCCAGAAGGGCTATAATGGACTAAGAGAAGAGTGTAAATCCTAGAAAAACAATTGTATGCCAAAGATCAATCAGGTTAAAAGAATTACTTACACGTGTCACTGCCAACAATAATTGGAGGGTCAATAATGGTGTTATTTGGAACTTTGAAGTAGTCTTGTAATAGCGTAACAACCAGATCATGCTCATAACCACTCATATCAATTACAAAAACATCGCCGTTGTCTCTTCGTTGATATTTATAACTGGAAGACTCTTGACGTTCAAGGAACTTATTATATTCTTTTATTGTAATCTTCGAGCCAATTTTATGAGTAATCTATAATTTATACATGTCAAAATTAGGATATCATTATTGAAATATTTTATGTATGATGTTATTTACCTGTTTTCGTCTAGCCGTTCTGGAAAATGAGGACGATATGGTTGAAGTAATTTCACGAAAAATTTTCGAGCTTTTTTCATTATTAAGGAAGAATTCGAAAGAAAAAAAAATAAAAAAATTTGATGATTATTTATATGATCTCAATGTTACACGAACTAATTCTAACCATATTGCAGTATTGTGAGCCGCGAAAACGGGCCTCGGAAACAGGTATGAGGCGCAGCGCCGGACCTGTGGCTGTGCCTAAGGGGATTTCGTGGTTTTAATAGTTCGAAAAGTATCGCTCTACACTACTCATGTTGGGCTATGCCGACATTATTCAGGCCGGAGGTGGTTTTTTATTATAGCAGTAAATTGAAATTTAGTACATGATGGCAAGTGACTGGCCGTGATCAGCCAGAACGGCAATGACATCCCGAGAAGTTTGCAATAATCGTTACGCTGGGAGTCGCCGCAGGATCGAATAGCCGGTGGTTTCCCGCCTGCTGGAGCAGGCCGGCTGTGAGCAGAAAAGCAGGTGAAAATACCGAATATGCGGTAGATAAGTATAAGAGTAGAGAAATGGTAGAATTCCGTCTTACATTCATCTCGGGTGGTCAGGTGGGTCAAGAAGAAGTCAAATCGATCGGGTTTGACACCAGGGAAAACCCGTGTTCGTTGCTGTGATCTTTTATTAAGTGTTTCCCACTATTGTGGAGACCTGCATTGTTCGTATGTCATTATCATATGAAACAACACACTTGCATGTGCTTCTCCCGTTCAATCAGCTTCTCGTTTTGGAATTGGCGTCTCGTGAGTATTCCTGCGGATTGTGGCGTGGGTGTGTCACTTCACTTTTCGATCACGTGATCTGTAATCAATTCGCACGAAAAGTATCGCTCTACACTACTCATGTTGGGCTATTCCGACATTATTCAGGCCGGTGTGGTTTTTTATTATAGCAGTAAATTGAAATTTAGTACATGAAGGCAGATAAACAAGTGACTGGGCGTGATCAGCCAGAACGGCAATGACATCTCGAGAAGTTTGCAATAATCGTTGCGCTGGGAGTCGCCGCAGGATCGAATAGCCGGTGGTTTCCCGCCTGCTAGAGCAGGCTGGCTGTGAGCAGAAAAGCAGGTGAAAATACCGAATATGCAGTAGATAAGTATAAGAGTAGAGAAATGGTAGAATTCCGTCCAAAAGATTTTCAATTCTGCCATTCTATCTCTTTTTTTTTCATTTGTTTATTCAGAAATTTATTTTATTTCTTTATTTATTTGTACCGGTTCGCTTGCTATGTTAGTTTATAACCCGATTATCTGTGTTTGTCCCGTTTTCCAGTTTAGATTTTTTGTTTTTTTTTTTTTTAACCAGCATACAATGTGTGATTACGTTTGGTCCAAAGTATTTATTTAATGAAATCACAGTTGTATGCTTTCATTGATATGTGTGCGATCATGGTGGGATGTGCCCTTATGTATCTGTAAAACGCATCTGAATCCCACCAGCTAATTTTCTGAATCATTATAGGTTGCACCCCCGCATTACCAATTCTGTGGCGCCGCCTGCTCTGAAGCTGTGCCTGAGACTTCAGTATTGGGTAGGATTGAGCGTAGTCTCTTGCAGAACCATCGTTTCATGGCCCATGAGTCGTTGTGTCTCACGAACAGTAGCCCATTGTCGGGTGCATAGGATGGGCAGGTGCATCGAATGACGTAGCTTTTAGTGACTTGATGGGGCATAAGTTATCTTTAGTTGGGTTTATTATGAGTGTGGATCTGATTTCGGCTTTGTGCTTTTTGGTTCTTGCAAGTTGAACTGTTGTGAATGTCCCAGAGTTGGTGTACTCGAATCTTAGAGCTTGTAATTGTGGGACTTTGCTTCCATCCAGTTTGCGGTCCGGCAAGAGCTCCCCAAGCTGCGCTAGTCGATAAAATGCAGTTAATGCCACTGACCAGAAAAGTAAGTCATCTGATTCATTAAAATTCATGCTATGTCTTATTTGGTCTAGGTGGGTCCTTGTAATATGCCTTTTTTGTTGTACTGGTTTGTGTCTGTGATTTGCATCTATCGTTTTCAGAATTTCCGTCATTTCGCACTGGTGCCCAGTCATATGAATTTCTTGAGTGATGAAATTTTAGCGCTGATAAATAGGACGAAATTGTTGGTGGGGAAACCTTGTTTCATAGCGATTTGATAAATTTGATTAATGATTCTTTAGATATGGGCCATACACTGCCATCCTCATTTCTCCAGTGTTGTTTATCAGCCAATGTTTGATACCGTCTGATGATTGCTTCATAAGTTCTGTGCTTCAGAGGTTCAATATTTAAGATTTTTGCTGCTTGCTAGTCTAAAGGCATGTTGTTGTTGAAGCCTCTTATTCCTTGGTGTTGCTTACATATGGTGTTGCTGGTTATTATGTTGTTTCTTTGCCTGTTCAGTACTTTGTTTGTGAGTTGGCATGGATCTATTACAGCAATGAAGGAATAAGAGAAATTGCATTAGCATATTCTGGTGGAACATCAGGTTGAAGATATTGTGCCGCCGGATGTTTGAATAAGTATTCCTTGTGACCACTTAGTGATAGCAAGTCAGCATCTCTGTTTTGTTTGCCTGGTATATGTTCTAATTTTATTGAAAAATTCCCTTGGATCTGAGTTTCGTATATCTGAGCTATAATCCTATTGATTTGAGGATTTCTGCAAAATCCTGAGTAGTAAGCTTCAGCATTAGCTAAATTATCTGTCCATATTATTAGCTTTTTTCTGTTCATAGTGGTAAGAAGGTGCGAATTACTATAAAGGTTGTTAACAGTTCACATTCTTGAATGTCATGATCGGCTATAACGATTTGATTGGCCCATTTAAATGCTGTAAAGTAGTTTTTGAATGTTGCCCCGCCTCCTATGTTTGATGCATCTGTATATAGGTTCAGTATATTTTGTTATTGCCAACTTTGGTCTTCCATTAGGTAATTACCGAGCCATTTTTCTATAATATTGATCCACTATTGTATGTGTTCATAGGCCTGGTTATTCTGGTTATTCTTATATGATGTTTCTGGTTTTTGATAGAATCCTGTACCTTTATGAACCTCTGTACAAATGGTCTTTCTTGAGGGAGTACTTGACATATCTACATAAGAGACCCAACTAGCAATTGAAGATCTTTTTTGTAGCATCATGTTTTGGTTACCCAGTCTTTAAGTAGTTCATGTATCTTTTTTCTTTTTTGGAGCAGAGATACTGACATAGTCTCTGTGTTTATCATGATTCCAAGGAATGTGATGCTAGTGCTGGGGCCTTCTAACTTTGATTCCTTGAAGGGTACACTGATTATATTTAATATTCACAAAAATTGTTGAAGTTCTCCCTTGCCATTTATTTTTGATATTATCAAAAAATCATCGACATAATGAATTATTGATCAAATTTCTTGTTGGGTGGCTATCCACGTGATGACTTCTGCAAATCTGCAGAAAATGTCTCTGGATGCCCTATTCCCAAAGTCCAAAGCTTTGTCGAAGTAAATACTTTTGCCTAACTTCATCCCTTGTAACACTTGATCCACCAAGTGTATAGATAATATCTGATATGCATCTTTAATATCCACTTTTGATAACATGCACCCTTTTCCATATAGGTTAATCTACCTTATTGCATGACTTACATTTTCGTACTTTGTTGCAAATTCACTAGGATTGATACTGTTGATGGCAACGGCTAGAAAACGTACGGGTCTAGATTGTCACCACGAAGATGCGGCCGGGATAAAACTAACAAAA